TTTTCATGCATTTTGAATTTAAAAGTTGCAATTGCTTGCTGTTTTTAATTCAATATTTAATATTTGTGTAAAAAATTATGCAGACTGCATTTTACTGTAACTTTTGAATACTAAATCTTGTTATCTTGTGATTTAGTTTCTCAACTCTTACATGTGAATAAAGAAATAAGTATGTGTGATATGTAAAATGTAATGTTGCCACATGGAATTTCAATTAGCGGTGCCGATGCCGATGCCGATGCCACTGCCATGAGATCCTGCGGCACGTTTATACACGAGCAGACGTGGTATGGCAACTAAAAAATGTCGCCTCTGCGTTGTGTCCGACAATTTAAATAAAACATAAATAATGTGCTTGTTTCACCGAGAACGACCGGTGGCTGCAATGGATACACTAGTCCTACACGACTAATGTGTAGTACGGTACTACATTTACAATAACACCGTGCACTATGCACGGCTCTGTAAGCCTTTTGTGCAATTACGTGACACCGCTGACATTAGTATCTCATAGTTGTCGTTGTCGTAGCTGTTGTTGTTGTTGTTGTTGCTGCTGCTTGTTGGAGTCCCTATCTTATAGCATATCTTGACTGTTTGTTTCTGCTTCTAGGCAAGTAGGAGTCGTTGTTTGTACTCTGTTGAATGGTGTATGAGTGACCCTTTAGGTTACTAATTTCCTCGTGTCTTTTTTTCTTTATTTTCTGTTTTCGTGTGCACCAATTCTTTATTTCAAGCTCATGTGGTTCCAGTCGTTCACTATGCAACTGACACGACTTTTGTGTTTGTTCATGCAAATTTCCGTGGCTGTCTATCTTCTCTGACATGGTAGGTCTGGTCTGTTTGTCGTTTACTCGCCTGCTCTTGCCGGGTGATTGTCTAGGTTGTGTTTGCTTGTCTGTCTGTACGTTTGGCTGCCTGCTTTTGTCAGTGAAGTGCAGACACCTTAAACGGTTGACAAACAATTTAAATGTAAATTACACAAACAATGCAGAAGTCATAAGTGTGCATTTGTCCAACAAAAACATTGCATGCGATTTCTGCTGATAATTTTAAATTATGAAAAATGAAACAAAAAGGTAATTTAATTAGGAAAAATAAAAAAAATATTTATCTTTTTTAAATGTTTATTAGTAAAACTTTTGAATCATAATATAAACACTTATATTGACATAAATAATTATCAGATAAACATTTAAGAGCAGACAACAAAGTTAATTGTTCCATTTCAAATCAGTTGTATGTAAGAGTGTTTCAAGATTATACTTTAACAAAAATGGTAAGAAGTAATAAATAGGTAAACAAAATAGAAGATGTATATAAAATATTTATTATTTATTTATTATTATAAAAAGTAGATATTAATAAAACTATGAATTTAGCATATGCAAATGTGATATTGTCGAAAATGTCTTATTAATCAAAGATTAATCAAAGTCTTCTTATTTTTACAATAATAATATGTATTATTTAAGAAGGGTATTTTAGTTTTCAACAAGAATATTTTTATTCATGCAAAAATTATTAAAGATCTGCGAATATATTAGATTCTATATTTTATATTTTACAGTTTTTCTTTCTTGTTAAGTATATTTATTGCGATTTCGGTCTTTCAATAACAAAATAATGAATTAACAAGACTTTATATCAGAATTAATTACGGCTTTGGATCAGTTGGGAACACTTACTGACTCTCTGCTCCAAATTTGGTAGAGTACGAGTTCAACTCTACTAGAAGTCTCAAAAAGTTATTTACGAATAATTGAATATATGAATTCCAAATTACCACAGATGATGGGTATTTGATAATGCTTCAAAGAGCTGTATGGGCAGTTAAAAATTTAATTAATTAAAAATAACAAAATTTTGTTGTTACAACTTAGTATTGTACAAAATCTCACTATTAAAAACAATAGTTTGTACTACAAAAATAGTTTCTTAAGTCGCCACTGATGTTAAAAATCAATTTAATAACAGAATGTTTATATATCAAGTTAAATGAAAATCAGAGAGTATCCATAACTAAGACCCTTTCCTATAAAGAGTGCGCCGTATTACGAAACTTAAGAAGTTAAGATGATTAAGTTATTTCTGATTTAAAATGAGAACATTTCTGAATAGTGCTAAGATAGTTATAGCACAGCTTGTGCTGATAGTTCAGTGACTAATAGGCGTACAAGCAGAAAAATAAGATACGGTCCTTAAACAAAATAGTAATAAATACAAGAAGGAAGAATAATAAGATATAACTGAACACTTTTACGCAGACACTTTAATACGGAAAAGTTATTAAGCTTATCACTAGCGAAATATACGAATTACCAAGTCTTCCAAATATGTCAAATATAGATTTTATAAACATGAATAACCCGCAGTATGGCTTAAACAATTGTTTCAAAAATTCATCATTTTCGGATGTATGGTAATGAAACGCCGGTTGTAAAATTATTGGATTGAAGAGAAAATTCAAGTAGCACAACTTATATTAAAAGATTTTAGTGGAAAGTTTCATCTGATACGTACTCAAAATCCACTAACCTCCGGAATAAATTTAGTAATATATGTATAATAATTATTATAATATTAAAATTGTTTAATAAGATACAAATTTTAATTCAACGAATTACTTGAAGGCCCTCAGAACGGATTTTTCTTGGTGATTTTTAAAATCAGCTAATACTCTATATGGGCTTAAATCCAAAGTTTTAATTTAGTGTCTGATGCACTTATTTTCTTTTTGTCATTTTACGAGTGAAATATCTTCATCTTCAAAACAAAAATGATAAATGGTAAATGAAGGTATTAACCCATTCCTTGATACTTTTTGTTTTTGGAAATGTTTAGTGTTGTATAGGACTTTTTGTGAATTAAATAATTTAAAATTGTAACTAAGAAAGGTGTTGGCATTTATTAATTTAAAATTAACTTAGCTAAGTTTTAATAGAAAATATTCATATAGTCGTTTAGACCTTAACACAAATTTTAGTAATCAGTAATGTGGGTTTAATGACGTTATGAAAGATAACATTTATTTATTTTATTAGTCGAGTGTATATAAAATTGTTTTTAACAGTTAATTTAGGGAATATTCAAAATTTTTATGGAAATTAACTGCCACGGAAGAAATGTCACTCGCCTGGATGCCAGCCATGCAAAATTCAGAGTAAAGTAAGTAACTATCGAGAAACAAGCTAGAAAGGGTCCCGTAACTTATTTCTTAAAACCCAATTAATTTGAGTTTTTATTTAGAGTAAAACTTAAAGATTGTTGGGGTCTAACGTTAGGAAGTGACCTTGCACTCCGGCTAAGATCTTGTTCTGAACACTAAAGATCAAGTTCAACACGTCATAACATAATTCGATTTGGGGAGCTATTTTACTAGGGGTTAAAAATTGTAATAAGTAAGAACAGAAAAATAGAAATTTCTTTTGGGTTTGGGCATGATGGTCAACTGACTAATACACACTGTCAGAAAAAGTAAGCAATTTATAGAAGTAATATAGACCTGTTTTTAGCAGAACACTATATACTATACACTATTAACTGAGGATTTATTTAAACTATATCTAAAAGAAGAATACAATTTTTTTGTGCAAAAATTTAAAAAATATTATTATTTTTTTTTTGATTTTAAAAACTTATTTTATTTTACCACAATTTGTCAGAAATAGTTGTGTTTGAAAAATGCATATAACTTTGTGACAAAAAGTATCACCAAAGGACATGAAGTGCTTGTTCATTATGCTTAAAATAAAAACTTGACAATTATTTCAACAATTTTGGCAAGTTTTGTTTTCATCCAAATGAAGTGTTATTGTGTATGAATTTATTAGAATGGAATTGACTAAAATAATAAAAATGTTAAGCAAAAATTATTTGGAAACTATTTAAGTCCCTCATCAATTATACAAACTCTGCAGTGGAGCATAGAAGAACTTTGGGTATTTCACAATTCCAAAAAGAAAAGGAAACAAAGTAGGAATTTAACATTTTAAAAGTTATTTGGTCAATTTTTAAAAGCAATTTTCATTTTCATTTAAAGTGTAGAGAATTTAATGAATTTGGACTTGTAAATATTTAAATCTTTTGAATATCAAATGTGTAATTTGTGCTTGATAAACCTCAAATATTTTCTTTTGCATTCGGAATTAAAAATGAGAATACTATGTAAATTACAATGTGAAATTAACAATAGAAAGACACAAATACAAAAAATGTACAAAAAAAGAAATTTTAAATTTTTCGTAAAACTCATAGTAAATAATACAAATGAGAGGTGAAATGTGAAATCCCCTTGAGCGCCAACTGAAAACCACAAAAAGATACAACTGCAAAAACAAGTCCGAGT